GTAGGGCTAAGACCCCATTTCCATAGAATTTAGATCGATCTATCCCTGTGGGGAGTCTCACTAGATTACTGTCAGCTTAGCCGGCTTATAAAGCGTCTGTCCCGCGTACAAAAAGCTGTGAGGGGGTAATTAACTATGGTGCGCGCTCGCTTGACAGCTATTTAGCGTGAACCCCCCAGGGAGTTAGGTCGATCTAAATCTTAATCTCTGGATCGATCAAAATCTCTGGGAATGCACCCTAAGGGTCTATTCCCACAACTTTAGATCGATCTATCACCGCGGGGAGTCTCACTAGGTTACTGTCAGATAATCCCCCTTAAGTGTCCGTCCCCGCCTACTACAAGCTATAAGGGGTAATTAACTTTCGTGTCCGCCCGGCTGACAGCTATTTAGCGTGAACCCTCAGGGAGTTAGGTCGATCTAAAGTAGGTCGATCTAATCTATGGAAATGGGATGTAAGACTACATGCATCTTTATAAAACCAACTATTGTACTGTAAGTCCACTTAACTATATTACAACAATATTGGTTTAAGGGGTTTTAAAAAAGATGCCAATTATAAGCAGACATAGCTTATTATCGGTAGCGAAAATTTCCGATTTAATCTCTTAATTGTTATGTTGAAAATTGTCAGCCGAACCCAGTCTCAAATCCACAACTTGTTATAAGTACCGTACGTACCGTACGGCAAGAAGCGAAAACTTCAAGAGTCGAAGGTCCATCTTTTTTTTACTGGGATTTGGAATTTTTAATCTTTTATATAAAACAAATAATAACAAAAAGATGACAATCATTATTAATAATAAATTATTAATAAACTAATGAATCGCCACCAAAAATCGAAGTGATTCTCAGTTTTGCCATTTCACCGTCACCCCATATGGTTTTATGAAAAGTCACCCATAACTTTCGAGTTATGCTGTTAACTAACCTAAACCCTATGAAGGTAATAACATAACCTGCTTTATGGAAAAAAACCCTTCAGTGTTTAGCGGACATCTTGTCGCACAAACAGTAGATCTTGACCTCTTGGTTCCACTTCTTTATACATCCCGGTTCGAGTAAATACCCCTCTAATATCTATCAAAGCCTGACTGTAGTTTTCACTAAGACGATGAACTTCTACCGTCCACATATCGACCGTTATTTTATCCCACGGGAAAGATCGGAGGACCTCCAGCTCTGCTCCCTCTATGTCGAGGGAAAAGAAGTCCACGTGTGTCCGTCCAATGGTGCTTAAAAGCGTCTGGATCGGTAGGCAAAGTAGCCTAATTGTTCCCCTTATAGGTCGGTTTTTGTTTATGGGGTTGATCGCCCCAGCATCTGCTCTGCTGGATAACGTGAAATCCAGCCACTTTGGTTTACTGGTAAGGCAGGACTGGACCACAAATGCCTTCCTGAAATAAAAGGTGTATGTACCTTGTAATGGGATTCACACACACACACACACACACGCACACGCACACACACACTTACACACACGCACGCACACACACACACACACACACACACACAAACACACACACACGCACGTACACACACACGCACGTACACACACACGCACGTACACACATACACAAACACACACACACATGTATCTATCTATCTATAAGGCAATGTGTAAACACTGTGTTTAAACATTTTCAGGCCGCGGTCAAATGTGATTCTATCAATTTTATTTTGTAACTAACAGACAAAAGTGTGAAGGTTGAGTTAATCTACCCTCTACCAGGGCCGCAGTTATTATTGGGGACATTTCTTGCTGACTGAGAGCCAAAATGACTGTCTATTTATCTAGGGACATATCTGTGAGTATATGTGGAAAGTCAATCTGTCGCCCTGGTAGAGGGTAGAGTTAATCAATGTTTGGCGGAGTGTGGTGTCGGAAGTTAATGCACACTAGGGCGCATTCCCATAGATTTTAGATCGATCTATCCCCGTGGGAGTCTCACTAGATAACTGTCAGATAATCCGGCTTAAATGTCCTTCCTTCCTACTACAAGCTGTAAGGGGGTAATTAACTTTCGTGTCCACTCGGCTGACAGCTATTTAGCGTGAACCCACAGGGAGTTAGGTCGATCTCGTTGGATCGATCTCATCTCTGGGAATGGGGTCTAACAAATCCCCTACAAATACCCTCGACAACGACCGGGGATTAAAGGAATACCAACGCTTCATTTCAGCCCCAAATATGGAATTTTTCTAGGTTAAAGGGCAATTTCCCCAAAATTACCAATGGTTAATGAATCAGTCCCGACATTCGAAATTAGTGCCTGTTTTTTTTCTTAAACTTTGGTTTCTTGTGATAATATCTTCATAGGTTATAACAGGCGGTAGCCAGCCATCTATGGAGGCCAAGCGGTCCGATGGCAAACACAGATTGCAGAAAAATAGCGATATTCCCTGGTTTGGTGGTAAAATTCTATTTCTATGAGTTGTTTACCATGCATTTATTGTGGAATATGAATCTCATACGAAGAGTTGTTACCCCTTTAATTATGTGCCCTTTCCAGGGGCGGATTTAGGCCGTCTTCTGGGTCTTCCGGAAGACGGTCAGATTTTCAAGTTTACATTGACGGGTATCTAATTTTTTCTGTCGGAAGACGGTCAAAAAATGGAGGATGGATCAACAGATATAATATGGAAGACTGTCAGAAAATATCTCTGGATCCGCCCCTGCTTTCCTCTAACGCGAGAGTGGTGTGTCACAGTAGAAAAATAAGCCATGATCTAACAAGCAACACATTTGTGAATATCTAGTGAAAAATCAATCTATGGTCCTGCCACCGGTAGAGGGTATTACTCAAGCATGTTGTACAATCTATTTCCATCACATATGTATGGGAATACCGGTAGAGGGTATTACTCAAGCATGTTGTACAATCTATTTCCATCACATATGTATGGGAATACCGGTAGAGGGTATTACTCAAGCATGTTGTACAATCTATTTCCATCACATATGTATGGGAGATTACTTTTATTGGGCCACAGATGCCATAGGTCATACATGTAATAAGCAACAAAGGTCACTTGTACATGTAAGAAGAGAGAATGGGATGTGAAGTTGCCTGTTGTAACCTTGACCGGTTTTGTATAAGACTGATAAAAATCTCATGCTAGTTTGAGACACCGAGACAAGTGCAAGCATAAATTAACGTACTCAGTATAATACTAAAAAGCAATAGGTCTGCACGTGCAATCACAAACCTGCTTTTCATAACAAATAGTTCAAAATGTTGGGGGTCTTGTTCTGCTTGAACTAAGATTTTTAAAATGCATCACCTACTGGAACAATTACATATATATATACTTGTTCCACACACACACACACACACACACACACACACACACGCACACACAGTTGTGTGTGTGTGTGTGTGTGTGTGTGTGTGTGTTAAGTACTAGAAAGAAATAGGTAAAATTGTGCAAATAAATTTCATGTTCATGTACCTGTTTTTCCTGACAAGCTTTTCAAAATTATCGGGATCTGGTTCTATCAGTATTCCAGTCCAGTTGCGAGATTTTTCAAAAAATAGAGAGTTGCTGGTCTTTTCTCCGTCCCAAGCGCCGGCCTCCACATAGAAACCGTTCTGACGCTGGTGCAGAAATGTATCAACAACTTTACTTTGCCCGCTATGAGAATAATCCAGTGTGTTCGGTCTCTTAAGCCTCCGAGGCCCCAAAGAAGGTGCATAGAGCAGTCTGTGTCTCACAAACTCCAACAGCTTTGGATCCAGTGCGTCCATTTCTCCCGAGAGAAGACCTTGAAGAACCTCGGTATCCGTATTGCTGCTTTCATCCAATTCAAATATGGAGGAAGGTCCATCACACTGGTTATTTTTACTGACGTAAAATTCCACCAGTATGCAAGCAGTTGTAAGGACTAGAATACATCGCAGGAGGAAAAGAATCTTTAAATGCATTTTCTGCAAAAAGAAAAAAATAATAATAAGAATAATTATACGACTGGCTGTTATGGTCGATAAACAAAAAGGTAATCGAAAATAAAAAGAAAAAGGAAATATGCTATCTATTGTAATAAAAAAGAGATTGCGCACACGGCTACGCTGCAGCAGAAAGAATTCGGTATTACCATTTGGTTACAAGACATTTATTAGTAATATGACCCAATATATAGATATAGGTGTTTTACCTTAATCATTCCGGCATATTTTGCAACATTTTCCTACTGGGAGGGGTCTTTTGCGACCCTATGACATTATTGCTGAATTACAAGTTTTTCGCTAATACCAGAAGCTTTTGGATAAATCAATAAACATAATGCAGGGGTGGATCCAGAGCTATTTACTGACAGTCTTCCAAATTAACTTTGTTAATTAATCCTCCGATTTTGACCGTCTTCCAACAGAAAAAATTAGATACCCGTCAATGTAAACTTGAAGATCTGACCGTCTTCTGGAAGACCCAGAAGACAGCCTAAATCCGCCCCTGTAATGCACATTGCTGGGGAGGTTCAATACTATTCCATACTGATATAGGCAATTTTAGAACATAAATTTTTCATGTCAAAGTAAAAACTTTTCTTTGTTTACAGCACAAGTTCTGTTGATATACTAAAGAAAGCTAGCGCTGTGCATCATAACACATCATAACATACGCTCTTAGTTGTTAAAAACAGAAACAAAGGTGAAACGTTTTTTGTTTCAAAACTGATTTTATGACAAACGCACATTTCACTGCGGTTAATCTCAGAATAAATTAGACCATCATATATATATATATATATATATATATATATATATATATATATACTTTAGATGCACCACTTATATGCAAACTGTTCACAGCAGTCAATGAGTGCTAGTATACAATCTACAGGGTCCACAGATGTTTTTTTTTTCACTCAATATTCAACATATATGCGACTGGTTAATTCTGTGCACCTCTATCTTGTATCCGATGAAGTTTTTTGTATTGATTTGATCAGTCATTTGGCCATTGTTTCAAAAAAATCGCCGGACATTCGACCCTTGCTTCGGTTTGCCTAAATGGAACATTATTATACTTGGATACTTGCTTCAATACGGTTACAGCAATCAGGAGAAAGATAAACTAATATACGGGTATATAAATTTTCATCCAGCTGTGGTTTCTTTATTTGCCTGATGTAAATCGAATCATATACTGTAACCTACTTTCCCGAGGAGGAATTCCACGAGGAACTAGAAGGAGGAAGCCAAACTATATGTCCGTAAGTTTTCGTTCTTTAATTCACAGACAGGATTGTAACAGAAAATTAATCTGATCATACTTACGGCTGGGTCTCGTAGACTCTCTGTCACACAGCAGCTTCTAAAGCCACAATTTACAGGTAAACCACTCAAATATCTTCTACAGGGCTTGACAAAAGTTCAGGGTCGCTTCTTCAGTATTAAAGGCTTACAAGACAAGATTATATAAAAGTTGGTGCCAATACGGTTACATCCTTTTGGAAATGCCTTTCCTAGCCCACTGCAAGGATGTATGTAAGCTGCACGTCTTTTAATAAAATAAAAGCTTTGAAAGGGAAATACAGTTACTAGATAGGCCTATAGTGCCATTGTAAAGATTTTGGGAACAAAAAGGAAGGATATTAATTCTTTGCTATGAAATCCCAGAGGTGCATTGCTTTTGCCACGTCTGTAGATGCCCATATATTATCAGTCACACACACACACACACACACACACGCACACATTTATCAGCTGTAGTGAAATAAAACAAGAACGTGGGTACTTGTAAAGAGTTTAACATTTCATTTGACGAATGTTGGTGAGAATTCTAGAAGGAGAGAAAGAATAATTTTGGTTTTCAGTGAGTAAAAATAAGTAAATATTAAAAAATAATTAAAAATACCTGATATTATTGAAATTGTAATTGGGTTATCAGTGAGCACATTTATTCATTTATTATTATTATGATTAATCCTTTTATTTATAAAAAAAAAAAACGCCATTTTAATTTTTGCACGAATTGCACTAGCCAGCATGTAGGTACATGTTCATTTGTGCTAGTACAGTGCTACCTGCATTTCTTACTGACATGTAAAAAAGGTATTGTGAAAAATATTTCCACATTTATACCAATGGACATTAATTTACTAATCTTAATTTCATCTTTTTATTATTTAATTAATTTTATAAGAAATAACACGTTGATATTAAATTGAATGTACTTTTTGAAAACCGGGCCAACTTATTTGTTTGACTTTATATGTATTATTATCTGTTTCTTAACATGAATCATCATCATCATCATTCCTCTTCGTCCCGTGTGGGATATAAGGTCTTAAGATGAAAATAACTAAAAAATTCTAAAATGTTAAAACAGCAGAGGTGTATAAAGATAATTATTTCCACATTTATACCCACTCACATTAGATAATTTAGAGTGGTAGTGCTGTTACACCCCATTTCCATAGATTAAATAGACCTACTTTAGATCGACCTAACTCCCTGGGGGTTCACGCTAAATAGCTGTCAGCCGGGCGGACACGAAAGTTTAATTACCCCCTTACAGCTTGTAGTAGGCGGGACGGACATTTATCTGAAAGTAATCTAGTGAGACTCCCCACGGGGATAGATCGATCTAAATCTATGGGAATAGAGCCATAGTGTTCAGTGTATTTTGTCTGTGATGTTTGTGAGTGTGTTTGTTGTGCTGTGTTGTGCTGTCCCAAACACAGGAAGTCAGCCTCCTTCTAAAAGAGGGTACAAGACAGATCAAGTATAACCAAGGTAAGTATCAGACACTGTTACACTATTTAGTATATTTGTTTAAATAAGTATTACATTTACATATCAAATTGACTGTCATATTTTGAGAAATTGAGTTATCAGTGAGCATGTTTAATCATTTGGTTGTGGAACATTGGTTGTCCAAAAAAGAGAGCGTTTATTATAAACAACTTACCTTAGGAAAAAGCCTTGTTATCCATTTTAATTGCAAAATAAATGGATCTTTCGCTAAATGCAACTTGGGGAATCCCGGATGGGGGAATCCCACAAGAAGAGCCAAGTCCAACTTCTGAGCTTACATGTCAGAGAAAGCATATTCAATATAAGTGGATTTTCTGCCGAAAACTTGTTAGAAAATGTTGGGAAATTTTTTCCCGACTAATTTGCACTACATTGTATATTGTACAAGACTTCTTTGTCTAGGTAAGCATTTTATTGACGCAAAGCACGGGCGTATAATACGTCACTGTGGGTTATTCATGGACCGAGCGTCACTTCCGGAGAGTAACGTGCACTGTTACAAGAGTTTCTAAGTCCAAGACTTACAAGAATTTGAAAAATGCCTTGTATGTCCAAGTTAGAAATTCAGGTATAGAGTTTTAAGTTACAACGTTTCGATAATACCTCCCCAGATATATATTAAAGGGGTAACAAGGATCAGAAAAACCTTGAGAAACAAACCAAATTGTTAATGAACACTATATATCCCTAGCAGTAGTTGAAAAGCTATGTACATTTTCTCGTCTCGTGTAATGTCAAGCGGTGATTGCCATCACACGTGTTTTCTACGATATCGACAATAGGAAGTCGGCGGAGTAATTTTACAACCGTTTTATTTCCCACCCTCGTTGAGACATCTATAACACAGGAAGTATACTTAACAATATAGGTTAAAAAATAGCAAAAGACAGGTAATATCCAAAAATAACTAGAGGATCATATAGGGGATACTGTTTCTGGGTATTGTACCACCAGCTGGAGTAAGTGCATTACTTTGGAAAATAAACAAACAAACAGACCAAAATAAATAAATAAATAAATAAATAAATAAATAAATAAAAAAAAGGGGGGGGGGGGGGGGACCCCCCCCAGGGTTTGGTTTGAACCCCTAAAAAAGCAAAAAAAAAATTTTCAATTTTTTGTAAAAACGGAAAAATTAAAAAAAAATGGGGGGAAAAAAAAAAGG